GTCAAAACGCAGTCTCTTGCCTTGGTTTTGCTCTCTCACCCTGGCCGGTGTGCAAGGGCTCTGAGACAAGAAGAGGCTCTGATTGGTCAATGCGGCAACATCTGGTCCGGTGTGGTGCACCCCTGTGGATGGACAGCCCACGCCCCGGCACCTGGACCAGCCTGTGGATGGCCTTTGGTTCAGGCAAGGATCCCTGGTCTAGACAGTTTCGAGGACAGAGGTTTTAGAATTGTAAGACAAAGCATGACATTTTCTGCATAAAGAACAGCTTGAGGAGGCTTTTCTCAGAAGAGTCTTCTTGGCATGTCACAATGCCAATTCCTCCCTGAATGCAGTAAGGAATGCATCATAAACAAGGGAGGTAAACTGTGGAACTCCGAGGATAAAAGGGCTTAGAAAATAGACGGACTACCCTGCATATCCAAACACGGGCGGGCTGGGAAGTGACAAGGTATGGTATGAATACAATGGGCTTTTAAGTCAGTTCATCTCTAGGGAAAATCTGGACACAGTTCTAATGTATAATTTTAGCACATTTCCTTACCGCCTCTCTGGCGAGATTGTTGTGCAATAATGCATTAAAGAGTTTAGCACGATGATCCAAAAATGTTAAGTGCCTAACAGATTTTAGTTCCATTTCTACCCCTCATACCTGGCACATGTTGAAAAGTGTTAGGAAAGACCACAGCATTCTCCCTCAAATCCTGAATGTAGCTTAGCAAATAAAGGAGCTGTAACAAGCAGAAGCTGTTACCTATAGCTTGCCCATATCTATTTAAACCAGATTATTTTCCTCCAAAATTCGAGGTTAAAAAGAATTGTTTCTAAATGTTTGAATATGTTTAAATTTTTTTCTTTCTCTTCCCATCTCTGAAAATTGTAACTAATGCACTAAAACTGAGAGCAGAGAGTATGTGAGAACCACTGAGCCAAAATAAGAGAGAGTTAACTGCCAGTTAACTTCTGTAGCACTCATGCAGAAAAATGGACTGGCTTTGAGGTTATAGAAACAACCTCTATGAATTTCCAACAACGATGCCTGTCTTATGTCTAAAGCTGTATTTATTTCCTACCTTGCACTCCAGTCTTACACTCTATTGGATTGATTGGGTAGAATCCAACTCTGCTTGACAGTTTTGCAAAACCCTAAACCCAATTAAGATTTTTAAAGGAAGTTTTCCCCACGAAAATATTTCCTTCACTTGTATGACCATTTCCAAGATCCTATTGTAGTACATATGAAAACAAATGAGTATTCTTTTAAAGCAATTCATAGCCATATCTTTTGGCTGCTGCAGTGATGTTTCCAAGCCAGAGTATCGATGACATGTGTGCAGTTTTTACTTCACTATTTCTTATCCTGTTTTCATAGTAATTGGAGCCATGATCTGGAAGAAATAAGGGCCTTTGGCAGTGCACAGCCCTGCCGTCTGACTGTGGGGCAGTAAAGGCCTGGAGACTCATGGAATGGGCCTTGTGAAGTCAGTCTTTTAGTAAGTAAAAAGGTCAACAGAAAAATATTTCTACATATTACAGAATACTCTTGCTCATTCTATTTCATTTGGCATTGATTGCACTTATGAATTAAGGTACATGCACCTTAAAAAATGAATGAATGAAATACTCAGAGAAAGGATTCATGTGCTGCTGAGGGGGAAAGTATGTCCTGAATTTTTTAAATGAAGGAGAAGTACTATGTCAGAGTGCTAAAGTCTCAATATACTCAATCTTTCAAAATTGTAAATTAATTCTCATTTTGCTTGATTGCTTCCCACTGAAATTTAACTTCTGTGTTGGATCTTATAGATCCAGAAATATAGAGATCAGAAATTTGGTAGGAAATTGGATACTTAAAGCCTAATTAAAAAAAAATAAAACAGCCTAAAATGTAGAACGGCCAAAAAGAATGCTTATGATCCAATATTTTAATTCAGGAATGTATAGTAGTAGTTGAAATAAATAGGTGCATTAGAGTATATTAGCTACAACATAAAATGAAACTTCATAATGAGATTATGAAAGTGATTTTTATTATCTTGGTAATGGTGTCCCATCATAGATAATCACAGATACAGAATTTTTTTTTTATTCGGTATATCAAATGGTAAAAGCTACAGATTAATGTTGTGTTCCCAGAATCTATTTCAGAATCTACTGTAGCTGCTATGCATGTACTAAAAGCATACATGATAAAGTACAAAAATAAGAAAAGGTTAAATAAGAAGTTATTGTTGTGTTATAAACATCTACTAAAGTAAACATTTTAATCACACATTTGTGTCACAGCTAAAAACATACAAATTAGTATATACTGCTATGCAACTATGTGATCTAATACAGATCTAGTATGAAAATATTAAGGCTGTAATAACATTTCACAGGTAAATGCTAAGTTCTGGGATGTGAAAGCTTTCAGAAAATCCACAAAACGAACTTGAGATATCTTCTTTTTGTTTTGGAAAAAAGCAATTTTCTTACAAAGCCAAAGCTTTAATATATAAATGAGGCATTTAATAAACAATATACTTTATCTATTGCAATAACCTGGAGTAAATGTTCTGACTTTAATGGTGATCAACAAATACAGTCTATCTCTGGCAGAAATAAAATGAGGTTTTTCTAATTAAGCCAGTATTCTGATTACCGTAGCCTCCAAATTTGGTTATTTTTGTTCATTTGGGGGTTTGTTTTCCTTCTTTTAACTAGGCTATACACATATTAAATAAGCCAGGTCACCTCCAAGCATCCACATTACTTTCTTCTATATAAGCACAACTTTCCCTTTGCCGTAAGTATCAGATGACAACTGAGCCTACATGCATAAAAACATCTTACAGCACATCTGGACCTGGTTGACTTAACGAGACATCCAGATTGGTACATGATTATTTTTGCTGCTACACATCTCTCAATCAGAGTAAATAAGCTATAGCAGCCCTAAATCACCGTCTCAGCCCTGCTGGGGAATAACGTTTTGGAATAGCCAGTGCCCCCAAATTTAAACGTACTGGGAAAGCCTGATTTCTCTATTTGACTTTATTGCCTTTAAAAATACTAGCATGAACAATTTTTCATATTCAAGAGGTACAGCTATGAATATTTTAAAATTAAAAGTACATGAAATTTTTATTAATACAATATTCCAAACTGCAAAATAGATCTACTACGTTGTAGATTTTTTTTTTAAAGGCTTATTTGGGATTTAATGCTAGCATGTCAAACATCTTTTTTCTAAATGTTCATGATTCAAATTTTTTTCTTTAAGTTAATTAATTTGGAATGAGTGGGAAAACGTTTAACCATCTTTCCTCCTTTTTGTTCTTTCTCTCTTTTCTCTTACCACCCACACACAAACCATCACACACTCCTTCCTTTGTAATTTTACTACAAAATTCCAAAAGGCTTACCAAAATGGAACAAGTAATAAGCTCGTAAGACACTGTATAACTTTCTTTGGAAGTTTAAGTGCAATGAAAATTAAAACTTGAAATTTCACTTCATACTTCTAAAACCTTCCATCACTTTTTTAAAGATTTTAAGGTTATTTACATAAACCAAACACATACATTTTGTTCAAGCTTTATGCTTTTTCAGCTACCAAAGTAATTGCTCACAGAGTTGGCCATCTTAGATAACATCTTAAATAACTGATCTGATCAGTTCCACTGTCGTACAATGCAATTCTCAAAACAGTCTCCCAAGACTGTCTTCTGATTCTGACTTTCCAAAAAACAAACATTAATGCTAACTTTTAAAAAATAATCTAAAAGAAAAACTAGGTCAGTTATAGTGGGAATTCCCCCCTTTTTACCAAATAAAGAGAACATCCAGATAAAGATTTCTCGGCTTTCTACGGGATAATGGTCAGATTTCCACTACCTTCAACTGCAGCTGAATTCTCAGAGAGGCCTTAAAATTAAATTAAAATGTAAGCAGGCGAGAGCTTGGAATTTTAGCATACTAATTAGATAATTTCAAAAAGAGATTCGGGTTATTTTGAATACAATTTTAATTTAAATGTTATAAAATAAGAAAACATCTTACAGATCTAATTTTGAGATTTGTCAGTTCTCACCCAAGTTTTGGATGAGAAAAAAGACCTTGCTTTGATTTGGTTTTCATGGTGTCAAAATAGGTATTGATTTAATCAGCTCACTTAATATATTTGAGCCACAATTGGTTGAATTGGTTGTACTTTTCAATTTGAAATATTATACCAGACATATATTATTCAACCTTTTCCTGACCAAAAAATTAATACTAACACTGCTTATTGATAATTATGCAATATATGTATATATATTGAATACTATTTGGTGACACGTCTTTTTTTTTTTTTTTTTTTTAACCTATGAGACTTACTGAAATCAGTACCTCACAATCACATAATTTAAAGCTTAGCTGGGCTGGCAATTTTTTCCTGTGTGTGTGTGCTTATAATTGAAATACTGTACTTTGGCAACCAAAAGGGGTACAACTTCAGTTTGGAATTTTACAGTTTAACAATTTACACTTTAAAATTCATGATAAATCACTAAAACCCACCATAATCACAAATTTAACTATTAATTTCTTTTTGAGCAACTGACTTTATGATTCATCCTAAAAAGGAAGCATATCAATATCAATAAGGAAAAAGATAAATCCATCCATAGATTCTAGAGTCTGTCTAAGCTGTTTTACCGAAAAGGTAAGAAGGAACTTCCTAGTCTTTATACCTCTTTACCTTTTCCCTTCTCATCCTCAATCACATATCTTACACTGAAATTACTTGCCTTTACATCTTCAACAATATATTCTGAAACTTTGATTAATACAGTTTTCTATGGAGTAGATATCTGCACATGGAAGCTCAATCTTGGATCCCACTCACAAAGGCATGGTTACTGGAAAGCGTCTTCACTAGATAGGCGCGCACGTGTGTGTCTGTGTGTGTGTGTCTTTTAACTCCAAAGAATGCCCCCTTAAGAAATTATTATTATTATTTTTATTTTTATGTATAAAAATTCCTTGAGCCCTTTAACTCTTTGACTCAAAAAATCTTCTAGGAGTTCCTGCACAGCCCAGTAGTCATGAGGGGCCCCTTGGTGTGGGGCACATCTCCTCTGAAACCAGTTTATGCTCACTTAGAAGCTAATTGAGAAGTGGCACAAAAGAGGAGCTAGAAGAAAACCTGAATCTTACTCCCCATCCCTAAGGCTTGAGTACTTCTGAAATCTCGGTTTGCCCCTGGCTTCTCACTGACCACCTTCCTCGGCTTGTAATTCTTGGACAGCACTATCAAGGAGCTCCATGGACTCTCTGAGAGTGACGTTGATTTTTAATGACTTGGGTTTAATGGTCAGGCCGTAACTGAAATTCATTTTCAAGGGCTCGTCTGGGTTGGCCCTGAAATTGCACTGGTGAGCCAGGATGGAGATGAAGAGAAACAGCTGCATCTTAGAGAGCTCTTCACCAATGCACCGCCGTTTGCCCACTGAAAAAATCATCACGCTGCTGGCCAGGTCTTTGTTAAAGAAGCCATCCTTGTCCAGGAATCGGGCTGGATCAAAGTCCTCCGGGTTAGGCCACTTCACTGGATCATGATTCACAGACCACTGGTTAACAAAAACCACAGTGTCCTTGGGGATATGGTAGCCCAAGACAGAAGCATTAGCAGTGGTGGCATGAGGAATGGTGACAGGTACAAAGCTGGAGAAGCGCATGGCTTCATAAAGAAAGGCCATGACATAGGGCAGTTTGGGTTGGTCGCCCATACAGGGCAGACGGTTTCTCCCCACGACCTGATCCACCTCTGCTTGCACTCGAGCCTGCGTGTCGGGATACCTGTTTGGTTTTTAATGCATAGGGAGAAAAAAGAGTGAGAAAATTTAATTTTTCTTTCATCTAGAAAGTACAATTTATTTTAATTTCACTTTTCTTTAAACAGGCTATTGAGATCAGTGACTGAATTAATATTTCTGAAAAAAAATCTAAAACATTCTCCTAGTTTTTCACAAAATTACAAGATGGACCTTTAATAATTATATTTCCTGTAATAAGCCTTGCATGGCTAAAGCTCTCTTTGCCATCATAAGTCAAAAAAACACTAACTTTTCTCAGCAGGGAAAAGCACGCTAATAAACAAGGCCAACTTAGCCATTAGGCTCTGCAAGAACAGTGGTCCACAATACCTTTTAGGGGCCGAAAGAAATGTTTTCATATCTTTTAAAATCTTTAGACCTAAAAAAATGGACTTTTAGGCAGAAGACAATGTTTTAATATATAATTTTAATGTATTCCTCTTTATATGAATGTAGTCATAAAACATAATTTTTAATTTTTTTTATGGACTAAGAAGTCTATAAAAGCAAAAGCACCCAGGGTCCACAAAAGTTAAAATTCGGCCCTAAAAGTGGACCTCCCCCTTCCCTCATTTCCCTGGATAATTCCAGCAGACATGCTGCTCTCATTTTATACAAAGATAATTGGTACCCTGATAAAGATACGCATTTTCTAAATTTAAAAGCAAATTCCCAGTGTTCATAAGGTTATGGTAAAAATTGTAATACTTACTGTGGGTGATATAAACTGGTATAATCCTTTTGAAAAATAAAATCTTAGTACAAAGGAATATGTATAAAGATAATCCCTCCCCCCTCATCTTAAACCCAGTAATCCATACCTAAAAGTGTATTTTCAGGAAATAAGAGGCACAAAAATATAAAACCACAACAATAGCTAATTTTTTAAAAATGCAATCAAGGCCAATGACCAACATTAAAGCTCAAGAAATGATTATATATAATAATGCCATACATTATTACGGCAAAATATCATGCCATAAAATTTACTAAAATCAATGTTAAAAGGCAGGTAAATGTCCATTGTAATAAACAGAAGTGTCAGAAGTCAAAAAACATGTAACTGATTATTGCAACTCAAAAAAATGTAAGCATGTCTGTGATGCAATTATAGGTGATTTTAAAAATTACTTCCTCAACATCATATTGCAGGGGTCTACCAACTTTTTTTCATAAAGGGCCAGATAGTAAATATTTTAAGCTTTATGGACCAAACCCTCTCTGTCAAAACTATTCAACTCTTCCTTGTGTTGTAGTGTGGAAGTAGCCATAAACAATACCTAAATGAACGAGCGTGGCTGTGTTTGAGTCAAACTTACATACAAAAGCAGGGAGTGTAATTTGCCAACCCCTGTCATATTGTCTTTTCACTAAAAAGGAAAAAAA